GATTATTTCCTGGCGTCTACTCCTACATGGTGAATTTGCTTCTCTCTGTTCTATAGCTTTCAGTTGCGCTGTTAATTCTCTTATGTGACTATCCTCTGTTTTCTTCATATGGGCACTTAGTGCAATGAACTTACCTCGTAGCACTGCTTTCAAGGTGTCCCATAAGTTTGGGTATGTTGTGTCCTCATTCTTGTTGAATATTTGAAAGTCCTTAATTTCTTTCTTTATTTCATGTTTGACCCAGGAGTGGTGCAATTGCACATTGTTCAGTTTCCATGAGTTTGCAGGTTTTCTGCTATTTGTGTTGTTGTTGAATTCCAATTTTAAAGCATGGTGGTCCGATAAGATACAGGGGACTATTCCTATTCTCTTGTATCTGTTGAGGTTTGTTATGTCACCTAGTATGTGGTGTATTTTAGAGAACGTTCCATGTGGATCAAAGAAGAAGGTATATTCTCTTGTCTTTGGATGGAATATTCTATAGATGTCTGTTAACCCCAGTTGAGACATAACTTCTGTTAATTCTTTTGTTTCTTTGTTGAGTGTCTGATTTGTGTTCCTGTCTAGTGTTGAGAGTGGTATATTGAAGTCTCCCACTATAAGTGTGTGAGGTTTTATATGAGCTTTGAGTTTTAGTAGTGTTTCTTTTACGAATGTGGGTGACTTTGTATTAGGGGCATAGATGTTCAGAACTGAGACTTTGTGTTGATGTATTTCTCCTGCGATGAATATGAAATGACCGTCTTCATCTCTTTTGATTAATTTTTGTTTGAAGTCTAACTTGTTAGATATTAGGATAGCTATGCCTGCTTCCTTCTTATTTCCATTTGATTGGAAAATCTTTTCCCAACCCTTTACCCTGAGGTAATGTCTGTCTTTGAAGCTTAGATGTGTTTCTTGTATACTGCAGAAGGATGCATTCTGTCTTTGTATCCATTCTGTTAGCCTGTGTCTTTTTGTAGGTGAGATAAGACCATTAATGCTGAGGGTGAGTAAGGACCATTGATTGTTGATTCTTGTTTGATTTAGGTTTGTTGTTGGCAGTGGTACTGTGAATATATTAGTTCTGCTTTACCCTTGGTTTCTGGTGTAGTTGGATTATATGTTGCCTACATTTTTTTTTGGGCGTAGTTACATTCCTTGGGTTGGAGTTTTCCTTCCAATACTTTCTGTAGGGCTGGATTTGTAGATACATATTGGGAAAATCTGGTTTTGTCATTAAATATCTTGTTTTCTCCATCTATAGTGATTGAGAGTTTTGCTGGGTATAGTAGCCTAGGTTGGCATCTGTGTTCCCTTAATACTTTTAGAACATCTATCCAGTACCTCCTGGCCTTGAGGGTTTCTATGGAGAAGTCAGGTGTAATTTTGATAGGTCTGCCTTTATATGTTACCTGTCCTTTTTCCTTCACTGCTCTTAATATTCTTTCTTTATTCTGCATGCTTGGTGTTTTGGTATGTATATGTCGAGGAGTCTTTTTTCTTTGGTCCAGCCTATATGGGGTTCGGTATGCTTCTTGTACTTTCATGGACATGTCCTTCTTCAGATTTGGAAAGTTTTCCTAGATGATTTTGTTGAATATGTTTTCGGCACCTTTGAGCTGGGCTTCCTCACCTTCCTCTATGCCTATTATTCTTAGGTTTGGCCTTTTCATAGTGTCCCACATTTCCTGGATGTTTTGTGTTAAGGATTTCTTTGGTCGATGAATCTATTTCTTTTAGTTTATCTTCTGTGCCTGAGCTTCTCTCTTCCATCTCTTGAATTCTGTTGGTTATGCTTGCCTCTGCAGTTCCCGATTTTTTGCCCAGTTTTTCTATTTCCAGTATTCCTTCGGTTTGTGTTGCCTTTATTTTCTCTATTTCAGTTTTCAAGCCTTGAACCGTTTCCTTCACCTGCTTCATTGTTTTTTCTTGGCTTTCTGTACTTTCCTTAAGGAATTTTTTCCTTTCTTCCACTTTTCTGTTTGTTTTTTTCCTCCATTTCTTTAAGGGATTTTCTCACATCTTCTTTGAGTGCCTCTGTCATTTTTATGGTGGTAATTTTTAAGTTGTTCCCTTTTGCTTCCTCTGCTTTATTGTTGTGTTCCATTCTAGTTGGTGTAGATTCCCTAGATTCTGGTGGTGTCATGCTTGTCTTTCTGTTGTTAGGTGTTTTCTTGTATTGCCGTCTTCCCACAGCTTCTTCCAGTAGGTGTTGTTTGGGTCTCCCCTTCTCTCTATGGCACTTCCCCGGTTGGCTTATGTGGGTCAGAGATTCAATATCTGTAGCTCTGCGTGGTCCAAGCTCTCTAGGAGGTCTCTCTGCAGACAGGGACCCAGGGATGGTGTCAGGGCTAAGGATCCAGTAGAAGATGCCACTAGCCAATGGCTCTAGCCAATTCCTGGCAGAAGAATACAAAGTCTGTGCTGAAACTTGGGAAGGTTTTGCAGGATAGTCGGATCTCACTGGAAACTGGGACTCTCCAGCTGAGGCCTTTTCTTTAGCAGAGGCCCGGATTTGGGGGTGAAGGATCTTGCCAGCAAGAACTCAGAGTGGACCCGCAGAGATAGGCGGATCTCTGTGAGGGGCCTGGGACTCCAGCAGAGGACTGGAGGCAGGGTCAGAGACCAAGCAGGTGGAAATTACGGTGGTCCCGCGTGGATAGTCAGGTCTCCTTTGTTCAGAGTTGCTCTGAGGAGTCTCCGAAGTAGGGTGTACTATTGGCTCCACCCTCTGTCCCAGTGCTCAACCAGAGTGGCAGGACAGTGGGCAGGGTTGGGTACAGGGTGGGGGGGCAGGCTCGCGGTGGGGATGGGTGGGGGTTTATTAGAGCTCCAAGGGTGCTCTCAATGGGGACAGGACACAGGAGCAGCTGTATCAGGAGCCAACCCAGGGAGTTCCTGTGTGGCACTTCTTACATGCCATATTCTTGTTCATTTCTTCTGCATACAGTGGCTAGTATGATGGCAGCTCCAACTAAGAACAAGGTCAGAGTCTTTTATCCACCTGCCAAACAATTTTAAACCCTGCTGGTTCTAACACTAGGGGAACACTGTGAGGAAACTTAGATACTCGCCCACGAACAGGCGTTTTAAGTTCGAGAGAACCCTGTCAGGATTTGCCAACAAGTACAGGGGCAGGGGTTCCCACGTGGCTGGGGCAGACTTCATGGAGGGAATTGGATGGTTGTCTACTTTAGACAGTCATCAGTGCCTCCTGAGAACCTGGCTCTATCTCTCTAGTCCTCAGAAATCTAGAGTTCCACAGCCTGGCACTGCAGGCCTTCCTTCTCAGTGCTTTTCTGAATGTTTCCACTGCAATGGAATAACCATGGATGTGCCCAACTCCCAGTCAGCAAGGCATGATGTCAATTCAGTGTCTCCCTTCTAACTCTCTTGAGCTCCCAATCCTGGCCTAGGCAGATGTTCTTTCTTTCCTCAACTTCCCATTTGAAGGAACAGCTGCGCTTTGACAGATGGACCATTCCAACTCTTCTAAAATCAAAGACATACACTAGATCTTTTGTGTTACCTGAGCAGTCTGTTATGTCTTAATCATTGGCAGCATGAGCCTGATAAGACCAGAGTGGGAGAATCTGGCACCAGGGTATCCAGGATGGACAATCAATAATCTTCACTTTGACCCCAAATATTATGCTGTCCTGGGGTTGGTCTTGCTTGCACTGAATTTAAAAGGGATACTTTTCCAAATTGAGAAAACCTGACTTGTAGGGCAAGCTGACTTGAGATGAGGGGATATGACACAACAGGGTCTCTAGCATGAAAGATCTGGGCTCTTAATGACAAAGAAAGCATTTCTGGAGAATTAGGCAGCTTGAGGAGAATTTGGCATCTTTGTATAATGACATAAAGTAAAATAGAGGTTATTTACTAGAAAGGCCAAAATGTTTAGTAACAGCAAATAGGTAAGAATGAAAGTCATGTATATGGAAAATGAAGGGAAAGAGGATTACCACAGGTACCAGAAGGTTTCAGGGGGAACTGTGGAAGTCAGGAGGACACCCCCATACATGCACAAGTGCTCATGGATACAGGGGACAGAACCTCTATTGTACTTATATGGACCTTCTGATACTGCTACTAGCACTCACTCTATAATCAAACGTCTTAACAGATGCACTGTGATCATGCAAATGTGGGCATAACCATGTCTACAGAACCCCTGGAAATCAAGACAAACCTCAGCAAATACATAGTAACCAACCTAGTTCTTCTGGACACACACACATACATAAAAACTTTTCCAGGCTTGAGGAGATGGTAGATGTTTAATATAAAATTGTGTCACTAGTTACTTTGGCACGGAAATAGATGAATGGGGTTGGATGATGGGAAGGGGAAGAGAAAAAGAAATCAATATTGGTGAATAGACAAATTATCTTAAAATAGCTTGTAGGTGATATTTTACCTACAAACACATTAGATAGAGATGCTTTCAGATGTTTTCAAATCCAGAGACTGACTTGGAAACCTTAATGTTCTGTGTTTTGAAATTATCCATGAATCAGGTTTCTATAATGAAACTTAGACTCCAATATGATGATGTTATGCCTATTGGAGGCCTGGGTCATGAGAACTATTAATTATCCCACCACACAAGTTATCATTTTTGTATCAGAAAGCTAGTCATCAAAACAGCATTCCTGTTGGTATCTTAACTTTGGACTTCAAAATCTCTGAAAGTATGGACTAGATCTGAGAGGGCATGTGATTTTGATAGAGCCCACTGTATGAAATGAGTTCTCCCAAGAACTCATATCAAAGTTCTCCAAAGTTTCTGCTTCACTTAAAGAGGGTTTTGTTTTTAGAGGACACTGAGGATGAGAGTTTAAAGGAGGAAGGGCAGAAGGGGCCTAGTACCAGTGGACTATGAAAGGAGATGTGTACATTGGAACTCACAAATCCACACTGTTATTGGAGCAGTTATTGAGTTGGTCTAACAAAAAAATGTAGACTCACATGTAGGGGATTTGTGATAAATATGGAAGAACAGCCAAGTGCAGAGGTTATGTGAATGCTAAAATCAATCCAGGTTCCTCAGTATATTTTTGGAACCTCAGGCTAACCCCATCAGCAGCCAAGCCCACACACCATTCCTCACATAGGGCACTATAGTTCTTTGTGCATGTTCTGTGACCTCTTTAGCTCTTGTATCTTCTGGGGCAGAGTCTTGGTCCAGAACTGCAGCTTTCTGGTCTTCAGGGCTCGGCCCACAGCAGGCTGGATGTTCAGCTGCAGGTACTGCTCATCATGGTCCAATGTTGGCCAGTAGGGTAGACCCTCGCTGTTGGGGTTCCTGTGGATTTGCCAGCCAGTGGGGAAGAGTGAGGTCACTATGGTTCAAAGGCTAACCTCCTGATTTGAGTCAGAGCAGTGGTAAAATTAGGCCAGTTGTTAAGGGGCCTTATATAGGGATACAAGTGTCACTCACTAGTTTCTGCTCCATGTGGGTGATGACCACTTGATCTGTTTTATACCTCCCTGTAAGAGGTAAGATCTAAAGAAGAGTCTCATAGCACTATGGCTCATGAACCACGTCACTGTGAGATGATCAGTAACTGACAATTATAAAGTATCTGTATAAATGTGCTATGGGGTAGTGAATTTTCTATCACATGATGAAATATCCATGTATGATAAGAAGGCCACAATCCAAAAGGAAGCCCTAGATAGGGACCCAGACAAGGAGGGTTGAGATAGAGAGGTGTGTTCTCACCCATGTCTTGCAAAATTGGCCCAATACTTCATCATCCTCTTGTTCAGTAGCTTCTCCTCCTCAGTGAGCTCAACTGGAGTCAAGGAAGACAAAGGTCAAAGTATATTCCACCTCATACAATGGCCAACTCATGCTTCAGATTCATAATCCCAGCTGTTGTCTGACCCCAAACTATTGGCATTGATACCTCCCTTCTTTACTAGATAAGTGTCCAAGATCTATGCAAGCCTCTAATTGAATTCTTGACCCAATGTGCTGTAATCTCCCCCATTACAGATTAGACTGGTACACACAGACGCACACACACACGCACACGCACACACACACACACACACACACACACACTCCTCAAATGGACTGTGAGCTCAGGAATCCCTTAGAGATTCATCTGGGACCTCATACAACTCAAGGAAAATAAGGAAGACTCACATTTCACACCCCAGAACAAGGACCCGAAGACAAAAGGAACCTCATCACCATGGTCAGCCTCAACGTGCGATGGCCTGAATTGCTTGACAAAGGTGGGTTGATGTTGGAACTCATAGAAGTATACAGGGGCAAGGAAACCTGGAGGTAATGACAGATGGTGACTTAGTATTGCCTTATGTGGAGCTTTTCTTATACATGTTTGTTGACAGGAAACCTTGATGAAATGTTACCTGGAATCATAAAAGTTAAGTGGCAGAGGGAACTTTGGGCTGGAACCCTACCTGTGGAAAGCCCTTGGCCTTCCCAGCTGAGTGGTTTTTCAAGTCAATAGAGTTTCAGTGATCCATTTCCTCCTCTGTACCTAGATGTCACTCTCCATGACAAGACATGAGACCTGGAAACCACACTGCTCCACAGTGCTCACCCATCACCTACATCTCTGAGTTGCTCCCCTAAGCCTTGTTACAGATGTACTCACGCTGAGAATGTGCTACTTGGAGTGCAGGGATCACAAACATGAAGTCTCCCATCATCTCTGTGAACTGTGATTGGAGGGCTTGGGGATCCTCAATGTCCCCCATGTACTCTTCCATTAGCAGGTCACTACATTCAGGAGGCAGCATCTACACCAAGGAGAGCAGGAAGAATGAGACTAGGCATGTTCTCGGGTAGGTGGGCATCAGTGCTTGATATGGGAGAATGGGCCCTGGAATGAGATAGGGTATAGGCAAGAAGGTTCAAGCTCCAATCTTGTGGAATATTACTTTAATAGGGCAAAGATGTGTTACATTTGTTTATGTGGTAGAATATTACTTTAACTGTGTAAAGGTATGTTACATTTGTTTCAGTTGCCTTTGTTAATGATATCAAGATCTGTTACATTTGTTTTTGCTGTGTTTGTTTAATTATGTAAAATGTTGCTGTTTCACCTTGCCTGTCCAAGGCACCTAATTGGTCTAATAAAAAGCCGAGTGGGCAATATTTAGGCAGGAGAGAGGGAGAGGCAGGGCTGTGGGGCAGAGAGGATAAATAGGAGGAGAAATTTAGTCTCAGAAGAAGAGAAAGAGAAGACAACAAGGAGGAAGGGAAGATCACATCAGGATCCAGGCAGCTGCCAGCCAGACATGAGGAACAGTGACAGTAAGATTAAAAGCCCTGGCAAATATAGATGAAGAGAAGCAGGTTAAGTTATAAGAATTAGTGGGACAAGAATAAGATAAGCCTGAACATCCATAAATAATAAGTCTTCATGTCATGATTTGGGAGCTGCTTGGTGGCCTCCATAAAAGAAAGAGCCTGCTACACTCCAAGGTGACCCCACATAGAATCACACATCTATACTGACCTTTATTAATAGGGGTGCTGTCTGAGAAGGAGATAAGAGGGGCCTCCTTACATGGACAAAACTAGAGGTGTCTCACCATTTGTGCTGTTGTATTCTTCAGAACAGCCTTCAGGTTCTCTCTGGTTATTTCCTTTATTGTCTGAGCACTGTTTACAACCTGGGAGGCAAAAGACAAGTGTTAAGTGTGGGATCTGATGGACTTGGATTAAAGATGCGTTGAGTTCCCACTGCTTAACATGTACGTCTCCGGACTCCCAGAGGATTGGAACTGAGCCTCACCGTAGGGATGATCCAGCCATACTCATCATTGTTGACACCTATGATGCTGGGGACAGGGTGAAAATCCACAGATGCCAACAACTCTTGTGGATGCCTGGGTAGAAACTCCCCATCCACCACAGCAGGGATGACCTGGAAGACCTGGGAACAACGAAATACACATGGCGATGTCCACTGAATTACATTCATCATCTTCTCATTTCTTAGAGCCGCAGGGGCCTCATCTCATTCTGGAAGAGAACCTACACTTAGATTAGTCTGTCTTGGTGTTCATATTGCACATCCTGTAAGGATTCAGGCATTATGCCCCTGTCACCTGGCAGAATGCACTCAGGCAGTACCCTGGTCAGCCCAGGTGCAAAGGACCCTTTAAAAGGAAGACTTCACCACTTATGCTCTCTTTCCAGTCTCTCTTTCTGGCTCCTCTCTTTCCAGCTCTCTCTCCAACTCTTTTCCTGTCTCCCTTTTCCTTTCTGTCCTTTCTCTGTCTCTGTGTCTCTTTACTTCGTGTCTCTTCCTGGCCCCCCTTGCCCTTTTTAATAAAACTCCTCAGTAAGCTCTATGTAAATGGCATGTTTGCCTCCCCACTCCTGGTTACCCTCTCCTGCCATGGAATCCTCTAGGGTCCCCCATGCGCAGTATCATAACATATGGTACACGTGACTCGGCACTTGGTAGGTTTTCCTGGCATTTCCTCCTTGCCAGGACCTTGTAACCTTCAACTCAGTCACTTTTCCAACTAAGGATTTCTGGATTCTTCCATTCACGACCTAAATGTCTGGTAAGCCCACCCTTTCCTCTCTACCTGTGCCCATGCTTCCATGAATTAGGAGTTATATCGAGACTGTGATCTCTTGCCTTTTTGGCCCAGTAAAATACCCCAGTACAAAAACCCAGTACTGGGTGACCACATGTCTCTTGGACTCCAGAAGACCTGACCCCCGATTTATGCCTGATGGACCACAAAATCAGCCTGTGCCTCTTGTATCTGATCTGCCCTTAGTCTCTGGAACACTGAAGATTATAGGCTTTGGATCTTCTCTACCTCACTCATGGAAACTCACACCCCCTCCATCAAACCATGTGCCCACTTATTGGCACCCTGCATTCTACCAGTGATCCATAGTTGGAAGTGTGGCGTCTGCTCTTTTTCACTTCTCAGTTTCCCTTCTGTTCCAGGCATGCTAAATCCCTCCCCTGTCTGCCACAGTGGTGTCCTGCTGCCTCCCACCTGTCTCATGGTGGGATCCTCCCTCCACTGGGAACGTCCTGTTTCAATAGACGTTTTATGCTCCTCTTCATAATGTCTCTCTCTCCTATCCGTCTGATCTCTGCTGAGCCATTCAGCCTGGGATGGTGGGTTCCTCTTTTCCACCCAGCTGCACTGCTATCCGGTTTCTCCTCCATGCAGATGCCAGAGGCTCACAGTTGTCTGTCCCGAGACAGAGTCGACTCAGGACTCTCTGAGAGTTCTTCATTTTCATTTCCCCCATAAATGAGTCCTGCCCTCACTGAGCGGTGCCTTGTTTCTCAGACCCACGGGGCTCTTTTTGGATGTTGTGCCCCTTGGACTCTAGTGTCCTATGGGCTTTATGTATGTTTGTGCCTCACTCATGGGAAACAAGCCAACAAAATTATATCTAAAAACTTTACAGGATCTTTCTAACTTCTCCCAGTGGAGGGGAACCTGTTTATGGCAGCCACCACCTTGACTGAGAGTGACCATGAGGCCTAACCATAGGTCCACCCACTTCATAGGTTTCTCCCTTCACTCTGCCTAGCCAGAGGGACAGTCTAGCCAGCATCTGCCGATAAACTCTGCTGCCAGACATAATTACTTTTCCCCCCTTTATTTCTTTTACTGGCTGTGTTGTGCATGGCTTGTTTGTGTAATGGCATACCTTTCCAGGGCCCAGCAGGGCACACATTTCATGCAAAAACCCTGCCTGTTCCATCTGCAGCAAATCTGCTTTCTTGTCACTGGTAGTTTTAAGTTTACTCTGTTGCTTTAAATGTCCTGTCTGTTTGCTACAACATGACAATCAGATATCACATTCTGGTTCTTCCTTCTTACCCAGTCCTGATATATATATATGTATATATATATTGTGTGTGTGTGTGTGTGTACATGTAGCTACTCTTTTTAAAAAATTAAGCCAGCTTTAACTCTTCATATATGTGTGTTACTTTCTAGACTAATGAAACAGTAAGTCTCAAATATTTCTAAATTGTTATGTATTCTTATATGATAATAAAATTTTATTACATAAGGGGATTTTTCTTCATTTCTTTGTCCATCACAGGCATATATGTAACCTACTAAGTCAAATCCAGTTACAGTCAGGCTGGAGGGCTTTGAGTAAAACATCCCTCCACAGTCTCTCAGCTTGACTCCAGTTCTCCAGACAGGTCCTACATTGATGTCATTGTATCCATACTAAGTATAGATTAATTAATTACAGGGATGAAACCTTACCTAGCCACCTTTGTGCTTAAAGCAAGTAACTAAAGACAAATTTTGTCTGCTGAGATATACTAAATAGCCTTCAAGTGATCTGAGATCTAGAGAATATGGCATTTAACATGTTTCATTAAAAACCCAAACCTAAGAGATTCATATAAGGTCCCTCACAGAAGGGGAAAGGAACAAGATCTCCTGAGCATATTGGGAGTGGGTGGGTGGGGGGCAGTAAGTGGAGAGGGAGCTAGGAGAAAGAGAAAGGGAGAAGAGGAGAACATGTGGGACTAGGAAGATTGAGTTGGGGGACGAATAGATAAGAACAAACAGAAAGAGAGAGAGACAGAGAGAGAGAGAGAGAGAGAGAGAGAGAGAGAGAGAGAGAATAATAGAGGGAACCATTATAGGTTGGAAGAGAAAACTGACTCTAGAGAAATGTCCAGAGACATACAAGGATGACCCCAACTAACAATCTGAGCAACAGTGGAGAGGCTATCTTAAATTTCCTTCCCTGATAATGAGATTGATAAGTAACTTATATGCCATCATAGAGCCCTCATCTAGTAGCTGATGGAAACAGAAGCAGACACCCACAGCTAAATACTGAGCCTACTGAGCCTAACTCCTGGAATCCAGTTGCAGAGAGGGAGAAGTGATAAGAAAAAGGGTTAAGACCAAGCTACAGAGACCCACAGAGACAGCTGACCAGAACAAGGGGGAGCTCATGGACCCCCAGCTGGGCAACCATCATTGTATCAACTCAGACCCCTTAAATGTGGGTCTCAGTTAAAAGGCCTGGGTAGTCTAAATGACCTCTGACAGTGGAACCAGGATGTTTTCCTGGTTTAGGGAAAGGACTTTGGAAGCACATTCCCCATGGAGGGATACTCCCTTAGCCTAGAGGCAGGAGGGAGGGCCAAGTCCCTACTCCAAATGACTTGACAGATTTTGATGATCCCTCCTGGAAGGCATCACCCACCCTGTGGAGTGGGGCTTGTGGAATGGGAGGGGGGTCAGGGGACATGGGAGGGAGAGGGAACTGGGATAGATACATAAAATAAGAAATACACACACACACACACACACACACACACACACACACACACAGCTTTTCATAACAGAGAGACAGGCCAACTGCTGGTATTACCCATTTTCTCCAATATGAATGATGGACACTGAAGAAATTCTACCTACAAAAGTGGTAATGCTAGCTACTGAGCAAACCTACCTTTCACCTCAACTGATATGAAAGCTCTTTAGGCTATGGACAAAGGACACTGGAACTGACTTTTTTTCACATTACTTAGGCCATTGGTAGGCAAGTCTTCCTAAAGCTCCCAATCCACAGGCCCTGAGCTAATAGCAGAAGTTATGTGTCCTTAAAGCCTCCACCCTCAACAACTATGGAGGACTCTCTCTGGGAGTGGCTGGCCACTCAGTCAGCTAGTTAGTCTTTGTCATTCTCTAATAATTAATTCAGGTAAAATTTTATCCTTCTCAAGAACTCTGATGCAGTTTGACAGCTAGTAGGTTTCAGTATAACTTCTTATACTGAATTACTTTGTTTACAAAAAGGTGTTTTAAGGTCTAAAGTTTATGTAAGAACATAAAAGCTTAGGATATGACTCAAAAATTGCTTTAGGGTATAACAGAGTAACCTAAGATGTACAAATGCAAGCTATCAGGTTTTTTTCTCATTATGCTACTGTTCAATCAGTAAAGTTTTAATAAGCTACAAATCCAACTCTGACTCAGAGTATAAAACACCAACCTATACCATTATATGATAACCACAAGCTCAAAATTAAGGTGCTTTCATTGTGGTAAAAATATCTTTCAGTTTTAACCTCTCAGTGGGGCAGATGGGAGGAGGAGGAGTGGAGGGAGTGCGAAGAGAGAGGAGGGGGGACTGGGATTGGAATGTAAAAAAATAAATAATAAAACATAAACAAAAAGAATAAAAAAGATCACCTGTCAGTTTTAAGAGTGTTAATGCTCTTAACCAAATCATTTCTGAGTATATGGAGTATATGGTCATTTCTACAATGCAAATTTCAGTACAGCTCATAAACAATGGAAATGCTAATGTCTCCCTAACTCAATGGATTCTTACAAGTTCTAGGGAGCCAAATTGGACCCACCCAAACAGGTTAGATTCACTCAGATAAATATCATTCAGCTTTTCCCTGATCCCAGGACTCCCCTTCCCTCGTCTTGGGACCCCTTGTGAACCCCTCTCTCATTTTATGATCCTACTCGCCTCAAGTACCAGGACTTAAGATTTTTTTCTTAAACTTAAACCTTGTCCTCTGCTCTGTAAACCTTTCCCTAGGCCTAAGAGGCACCAGCGAGTTCCGCATAGCCTGTGAACTGCAATGAAACAACCAGCTACCCCAGCATGTGGCAGCATCCCAGCAATCTCAGGTCCCCCAAAGATGGTCAACGCCTCCAGGCAGCAGGAAGTTGTCTTGAGAACTCAACACCCTTATTCCCTAAACTGCCATGCCTAACTCCTCACCTTTTGAAAAATAAAGGTGGAAAGAAAGGATTCAGGCATTATGCTGGCCTGCTCCTGTCACCAGGCAGAATGCATTCAGGCAGTACCCTAGTCATCCCAGGTGCAAAGGACCCTTTAAAAGGAAGACTTGTACCCACTTACACTCTTTCTACTGTGTCTCTCTGGCTCATCTCTTTTCAGTTCTCTTCCTGCTCTCTTTCCCACTGTTCTCCTGGGGCAGACAGGACTTTTCCTGTCTCCCTCTTCTCTTCTGTCCCTCTCTCTGTCTCTGTGTCTCTTTACCTCTTTTCTCTTTCCTCCCTCTTTCCCTTCCTAATAAAACTTCCCACTAAATTCTGTCTTCCCTGGCATGTTTGTCCCCCCACCCCCCACCCCCAGATCACCCTTTCTTGCCAGGGAATCCACCAAGGCCCCCCAAACTTTATCATAACATGCAGAACTAAAGAACACAAAGTCATAGAGATGAGGTATTTGGTTCAGAGTCCCACATCTTGTCGAGCACGTCCTTCCATACACACAATTCTAAACACCTTGTTAATGACCAGAATCTCTGCTTCATTCTTGGCTCTCAGACAGTGCACCAGGGCCTCTGAGTCCATGGTCTCACATCCAGACAGGTTGGCCACCGTCTATAAAGGGAACAAACAGGGAGAAGAGTTTTCTCAATTTCAACTCAATGCTATTGTCCCTAAATACCACACTATAGTGTGTGTTATGTGTGGATTGGAATAATAATGAAATTGTTCCCAAGTTCTACAGCTCATAGGTGACAGATAACAAGCAGTAAACTTTATACATGAATACTTGTTCTTTTTTGGGGGGTAGTTTTGTTTTCTACATCTATCTTTCTGTGTTTTGTGTATGAGAAAAAGAGCAACTTTGCCACAGTTCGTATATTAAGGTTAGAGGACAAAGTCTCAGGCTTCACTGTTCCCAGGGTGTCTTCTTGTTTTGCTGCTATCTGTACTAGCTGAGCTGCTGAGGGAAAATTCAGGGATTCTCTTGTCTCTGCCTTCTACCTGATGACAGGAAGTTTGGAATTACAGATACATGTTACTATCTCCAACCTTTTGTGGATTCTGGGAATTTGACATAGGTCCTAGGCTTGCACCCCAAACACTGAAAAACCCCACTGAACCATGTCCCTAGCCCTTGAAGACTCTGTTTTGCTATCCATATAACATTCTCAGCCTGTAGAAAGCAGGGGTGTGGATTCTAACCCTTGAGCCTTTCAGAAATAAATGAAGAGATGCCCTTTCCCTACATCCTTATTTTCTTCACTGAATACCATAGTGCCAGAGGATAGTGCTGTGCCAGGAGATACAGGGCTAAAGTGGTTGGGAGCACTCACTTGGTAAACCATCTCAGAGGAGCTAGAGATGAGGCCAGGCAACACAGCTACTCCACTCTCCATGATGGCACCATGGAAGAGTCCTTTGGACATGGGGGACACAACATGTGAAGACACACTTGTGCCACCTGCTGACTCTCCAAAAATGGTAACCTGGTCAGAGTTGCCTCCAAAGTGGGCGATATTCTGCTGGACCCAGCGTAGGGCAGCCACTTGGTCTAAGAAGCCCCAGTTCCCTCTGGCATGCTGGTCTCCAGTGCTGAGAAGTGAAGGGACATGCATCAGAAGGCTATCTAGGTTCTTCTCAGCTGTCATTGTATAGACCAGTCCTAGTCTCACCTGAAGAAGCCCAGGACACCGAGGCGGTACTGGATAGTGACCACCACCACATCTTCAATGGCTGCCAGCATGGATCCATCATACATGGAAGCCATACCTACAACCAGAGCACCACCATGGATCCACACCATCACCTGGAGAAATCAAGAGAGATTCCTGGAAGTTCCTAGCCAACAAGCTCTGCAGGACTGCTTACCAGAATATCAACAGTGTGAAGCTATACAACTGCATAACATCCTCAGGACTTCAGGACCTTGGTCATAGATAGGAACAACTAAGTAGCCCACCAGGATGTTTCTAGTCCCCAGCTTATGTGTATAGAGTAATATCATCATTATTAAGACTTCATAGTGGAACAAAGATGGGTGTCTCCATATACATCTCTGCAGATTAAAAAAGGAAAGGGTCATCAACTCCTATTGAAACAACAGATAACCCAGAAATAAATGGGGACCTCAATGTTGAGCCTTGAGCACCAAAGTGTTTCTGCAGGGCTTGGGTTGTAGAATTGGGTTTTATCAAAGAGCTAGAGCCTTTGTTCATTACAGTGCTATGTGTTCCATACCCAAGTTTCAGCTGTATAGTGTGGCCAAGAAGGCCTTTTTTTGACCCAAATAGGGTAACACATTTAATAGAATCTACACTGAAATGAAGCTTTTACCCCTTCTAATCATCTTGAAAATGTCCCCCTCCCCCCAAGACCATGGCCTGACACTTACAGGAGGAGGTTAGAGCCCTCTTGGGCATGAACTGGTGCATAGATATTGAGATGCAGGCAGTCCTCAGACATGGGGATGGGAGGCGGGGTCATTTTTAGATTCTTTAGGGTCTCTGAATTCATCATATCAACATTTTGCAGACAACTGGTGAAAAAGGGAAACAGTTATTCCAAGAGATGTATGGTGGTCAAAATCAAATGAGTCTGGTTTTTTTTTTTTTTTCAGCTGCAGCTCCTCATGATGCCCTATTAACACATATTTCCTTTCTGAAGTCCTTCTCAGAAGATAAAGGCCACAGGCTCCTTGAATGCTGGAATGGAGCTAGAATTCAAGGAAGTCATCCAGTTAGGTAGGACATGGATGCTAGTCTTTCTGAGTCCAGGATACATAGACTTCTAGGTGTTTTCATGGAAATGGTTGTCTGTATGTGGTGACATTCACTGAATTGTGTAAGAATAGAAACATGACTTAAGCATTAGCAGACATGCAAGCAGTTTCTATCTCTCTGTTCCTGGTTATAGATGTGATATGTCCAACTCCTGTAATTTTTCTTCACTGTGAATTACCAATCATGATAGATTGTAATCTGAAGCCTTCAATAATAGCTTCCTCCCCTAAGTTGCTTTTGTTATTATTTGTTATTACAGCAACAAAAAACAAATTAAGTTTGCAATATTAGAGTATTTGTAGGTACTAAAGGAATCAATGGAGAATACTGCCTCAAAGTCTACAGTATCCCATATAGAGACTCTCAGGGTATTGCTATTTTCCTACACTGTCTCCACAGAAGTTAGTTCACATATCCTTATTTCTTGGTCTCACTGGCACTTGGCCCTCTAGGTTGTCACAGTGATTGTGAGGGTGGGGTTAGTGCTTATCCATCACTGCTGCACTCTTCAGGACCTGTAGTGTATTCTACTGGATTCAGGAACATTCTTTGTCTAATTAGTCATACAGCTCATGCCTAAAAATCCCTCCAATTGCAGAGGGAACACTGGGCTTAATATAAATCTATGAACAATTTAATTTTGTTCCGCTCTATAGGACCTGCACACCTAACTTCCTGTGGGTGCCAAGCTCTGATCAGGAGACTGGCAGGTTTTCTTTTCAAGTTTAGCACATGCATCAGAAGAAAGCCCTCTTGGTAGATTTCCCCACAATGGGGAAAACTGTTATGGGCCTGAGATGGAGGAACTGCTCACCCCCAGGACCTGACATCCTTTGGGTGCCAGAACTTACATGGCTGGATATGAGGGTCCCATCTCTCACACCACTCCCATGGTTCAGGGGCTTCGGGGTGCAAGCGCAGTGATCCTACAGGTGGCTTGGCAAAGGGAATTCCCAGGAATCTGTGGACACCAACTTTGGTGTCACTCACTTGGATGAGGCTGCCTCGGACCTGGCCTGTGTGTGTGTTCCTGATGGGGCGTGTCTCTGATGAGTCCTGACCTGTGAGGAGAGATGCCATCAGAGTTTTGTGCAGTCAGCTATCAGCAGATTATAGAAGCTCCCACCTCACTGTTACCAGGGCACACAGGAAGGGAACCCAGGACCTCCTAGTTCAGCTGTGGGGTGTTAGTGCTGGAAGCTTCCCTATCCCTCAGGGCCAGGAACCTTTCCTATTGCCCTGTGAAGGGCTTCAGAATGTTTCTCTGTCCAAAGAGAGGTTATACCTTCATAGACATTTGTATACATAAATTAATGATTATTAACATGATCATGACATTAACATGAGTAGAACCAGATGTCCTGGACTTCACTCTGTAGACCAACTTGGCCTCAAATTCACAGAGATGATTACTATCATTCTTATCCAAGGTCAGTAGTAGCTGCAGTCATGGCCACACACTGAAGAAGGAACAATTCCTGCAATTCACTTTTCCTTGAATTGTCTGGCATTTTTCAGAGCTCCTTACACTAAACTGTCTCCTTAGGATGGAGTGATCTTTGATTCTCTGACCCTCTGTGTGCTAGTGGGCCACAAAATGTGTGGGATTGGGAGGCACACATTTCCCACACTTCCATCTATCATTTCCATTGTCCACCCTTTCCCCCCACCTTTTCTCTCACAAGCTCAGCAACTCTGACTCCTAATCATTCCCCATTACCAGTATAGTGAGCCTCACCCTGCACGTGGAGAAGGAGAAACAGGAACCCAATGACCACAGCATTCAGCCCACTTTGAAGTTGATTCAGTGCCATGATCAGCTCTAGGCCTGAGTCTGTGCTGCTGTGCAGGATGACCTTGTTTCAAAACCAGGGCGAAGAAACCTGTTCGGCTTGCCCAGGCAGGAATTTAAATCAAAAGTATATGTAGGGAACTTGCTGTGGTGGGGCAAGGTCCTATTGTAGAAAATGTACTAGTCAGAAATGACAGGAGCCAAGAATAGGAGGCAGGCAAAGTCATTGTACTATTCTGGGTTCTCTAAAGTAGCAGGATTTATAGAATGAATCTCTCTATATAAATATAGAGAAATGGGATTTATTAGAATAACTTACAGATTATGGTTGAACAGTTGCTGGCTATGAATAGAAAGTCCAGAAGTTGTGCAGTACATGAGACTGGAGGTCTCATCTGGTCTTTAATAGATGCTGGAATCCCAAAGAGGTAGGCTCTAATGCCAGTGAGGGAATGGACTCGCATTGAAAGCAAGTTGAGAGCAAACAGGCAAAGAGCCAAACCCTCTGTCTCCCATGTCCTTATAGGCTTCCAGTAGGTTGATCCGTGTTATAGGTATATTTTCCTACCTCAATATCCAGACAAAAAAGGCATGTGTCTTCCTACCTCAAATGTCCAGAGAAGAAGTAAATTCACCCACTTTCAACCTAGCATGAATCCCTTCACATGTGTGCCTTCCATTTCTAGATTCCAGTTAAATCCATATCTAGTCAAGTTAACAACCAAGAATAGCCACCACAGTCACCTTTGCTGTTTCTGTTAGCTCTTTGACCTTATGGAAAGTCATAGCATGGATTCGAAACTATTCTGGAATACTAGGAACCCTGTCCTCACACCTGGTCAGAAATCTGTAGTAGGAGGAGCCAGGGGCTTCTGTGAGTAGGCACGCACTCAAGATGTCACAAAGAAACACAGAGGGCTCTGTGAATAGGTGCACACTCAAGATGTCACAGGAGAGACAGGCAAGT